ATCCTGTCTCCTGTTCTCATGCTCCTGGAACAACAACGACAAGTAAGCTTATTTTTGGATTACTATCAACATTTCCAAAATCTCCTCAAGACGATTTGTCGTTCACCACCAATCTCCTCTCTATTCCCACAGTGGATCCATCCTGAGTTTGAGTTCACCAGATACATCTGAACCAATAAATAATATTGTTTTTTTACCTCAAGTTGTTTAGTCCTTGCTTCAAACCGTTTGCCTTTGACATCACCTACAGACCCTAACAATACAGCACTCTACTACACACACATACATTCATACAGCAATCTATTACACACACATACATTCATACTCCACTGTACTACACAAACATACATTCATACAGCACTCTACTACACACATACATTCACACGGCACTCTACTACACACGCATTTATTCATACAGCACTCTACTACACACACTTTCAAACATGACTCTACTACTTCTCTACAAAGATAATCTGAATCTGTAGAGACTAGTCAGTGCTTTAGATCACATTTAGATTTAGAAGGGGCACACACCAGATGCAATGAGGGGTTCAGTGTCTTGCCCAGGCACACTTCAACATGTGACTGCTTGTGGAATCAAACCCCCAACTCTCCCATTGGAGTATGGCTGCTCTAACCACTCAGCAGCAGCTGCCTTATAAGTGAGACAGTGGGTTTCTAATCTGTGGAGGAGAGGTGAATATACACTTACAGCCAAAACTAGACTGCTCTAATCGTATAAAGCTATATATGAAATCACTAGTTAAAAAAATTAATCCGTTATTTGAGGAAGTTGGTCTAATCTATAAATGGAGGGACTTGAATCCTAAGAAAAGAGATTATACCTACTACTCATCACCCCACTTGTTTTACGCATGAATAGATTTTTATTTTCTAACATTTGGAAAATACAAAGATAAACACCTGTGAAATTGGGATATTAGATTTAAGCGACCATGCTGCAGTGTACCTTTCTGTTTATGAATTTATTAATTTTATTTGTAACGCACTTTTCATTTACAAAAATCTCAAAGTGTTACAGAGTGCAACTAAAATTGATGATAAAATCAACTAAAATCTGTGATAAAATAAACTAAAATCAGATGTTTGTCTAAATTTGCAATCAGTGAACATCAGATAAGCCTGTATTCTAAAGAAAACAGGCTTATCTGGTGATACCAGGTGAAAGTCTTCCTCACATCTTTCTGAAAGCAGACAGTTTCCCATTTAATCTCAACAACTGTGTGCAGTTTTGTTAAAATAAAAAAAACAGCAGCAGATCACATCAAATGTTACTGTTTCTTACCAGGCAGGAGTAGGAGTCATTTAGCCTGTGATCCAGGGTGAGGCGCTGCACCAGCTCAAACAAGGAAGCATGATCAAAGTTGCAGGGGTTGGCTGAAATAAATTCATCCATACCGTGTTTTTGGGCTCGGTCAGCATCTGGACAATTAGAGTACACCCATACAATAGAGGTAAAGACAGAAACAGATACCACATGTTAGATGACACATACATGTCAGAGCCTTCATGTCAGAGATTGAAATTTGTAAATCTAAATAATGAATCAATCGTACACCAAAGTTATTCATGGAGTTCCTCAGGGTTCAGTGCTTGGTCCAATACTCTTTACCTTATATATACTTCCATTAGGTAAAGTTATTAAGGATTCAAGGATTTTTTATTGTCATACCAGCGCAAATTTGCATGTTTATGGTACAAAATTCGAAATCAGGTCCCAGATCAATAAGCCTAACAACAAATAAATAAATACAAAAGAGTATACAGTTGGACTTCTGGTCCGGGCACCCTTTAAGAGGTATTTACGCTAACATAACTTGGACTGGCCTCACCTCAAACACACATAAATACATGCATTCTTGTAGCAAACTTAATTCCTCTCCCTCAAAGAAAAACACAAAGAATCTGATAATTTTAATATAATTCTGTAAAGTTTATTTTCAGTTAGAATTATGACAATGAAAATTATGGCAAATATGGAATATGAATGAACAGCCAATAGCCTAATAAATAAATAAATAAATAAAATAAAAAACTTTCCAGATGACCTGACTGAAAATTATTGGATTGTATACCTGGATTATTGAGCATGGACTTTGTTGGTTTTGGACCATTTTGACATGACTGTCGACGAGGGAGAGGGCCAGCACCAGGGGAGGGGGAGTGCCAAAGAGACCATCTTAGCACCAACATAACTGGTTTGTTCCACTTTGCAGTAAGCTGTTGGGGGAAGAATCAGTTTTGTGTTGTGTGTTTCCTTGACTGATGAAGCCTTCTGGATGGAAGGTGAAATGTTTCAGCACAAAAAAAGAACCTGTCCAGATGACCTGACTAAAAAATTGTTGAACAGCCAATAGTAGTTTTTTAGAAAGTAAATGACGTAAATCTGGAGACTTTGAGAAGGAGTTTAGATTCAATTTGAACTAAGGTTCTTAGCTCTCAACATTAAAAATTAGGTACGTTTATCTCAGATCCATGAATTAATCATGTCTAAACTAACTTAGTTGACACTGTATCTCTCATCAGAAGGAAGATGTTTGGTCCTACCAGAATATGAGTCCATATCCTCATTACCACAGCAGATACAGTATGATAGTTTTGCTGGAGTTTGTTGGATTTCATATTTTTATACCTTTTTATATTTCCTATCAAGCATTCAAATGTCATGTTATACAAAGTGTGTGCGTGTCTTTCTTCAAGGGTTGAACTATATTTATAGAAAATGTTTACTAATTCTAACTATTTTACCTTTACATATAATCTTATATTAGCTAATGATAATTTTACAATTTCACATTTGATATATTACAAGCAATCAAATCAAGCCAGGTAGCAGGTAAGATACTGAAACAGGTAGAATACCTAAAACCCTCAGGTCCTTATGTTAATAACAATTAACATTTAATCGTTTTAATCATTGTTTGACACAGGTTCGGTTTAGATGAGCGGACACAGGTTTAATCTTCACAGTAAATTACAAGAGCATTTTACCAGATGTTAGACTAAGCAAGATGGGGGCAGGGTGACTTCAACTGAACTGAAACACAAGTATAATAAGAGAGATTAATTAAGAACACATAAACATGAGTTAGATAATAATTAATAGTTATTAATTATTCCTAAAAAGAAACAACTTTAACTCAAATCATTTGGTATCAATAAGGTATAATCAAGTTAAACTGAAACAGAGTGTTAACAGTTTAAACACAGACAAAGAAACCAAGCTTCCATAAAACTTATCTCTGGAATGCAGTAAGAGGGGGCCTTGAGGGGGGCGGGCTAGACCCGTAACCATAGCAACCAAAGGTCTAAACCAATCAGAAAGCTAGCCTTCTCAAACTTTGATAAAAGCAAAAAATTACACACGCCCAGCGAGCATTTCCGGGGAAGCGCAGACCGAGACGGTTCGTTCTTTAATGCTCCAAATATAGGCATATATTTTACAAATGTAATTGTTTGTCTCTGAATATCTGTAACTCCTGTTTGTCAAATAAATCTTTGAACTAAAGTGACCGTCTCAGCTGTCTTGAACATGATTGTGGAGGACAGCCACAACAAGTTCCATGCTGAAGCCAGGGTTGTTTTCCTCAGGGCCATGTAGGGACCAGCAGGGACTGCATTTTCAGGGTGGTGTGTGTAGTAGAGTGGTGGTAGTCCCTGGCTTTCTGCACTGTGTGATCTGTGCTGAGTCTGTGTGCATCACACTGTGTTGGTCATGTTGCGGTTGTTGTTGTTATCCATTATTGTTTTTGTTGGTTTCTACTTTTTGGTGTCCTGTTATGTAATCTGTTGCTGTGTGCTTGTTCTGTTTGTCCCTGTACAGCACTTTGGTGTGCTTTGTCACTGTTTAAAGTGCTTTATAAATAAATTGGTATGGTATGGTATGTCCCAGTATCCAGTCTCCCGGCACAAACAGAGCAATGTTGTGTATGCTGTTCAGTGTCAGGAGGGTGATCAGTCTTACATCGGGGAAACAAAACAGCCACTGGCCAAAAGGATGGACCAGCACAGAAGATCAACAACATCAGGCCAGGACTCTGAGGTCTACACTCATCTCCAGGCCAGCGGTCACTCTTTCAGGGATGAAGATGTTCACATCCTGGACAGAGAGGAACGATGGTTTGAGAGAGGAGTAAAGGAGGCCATCTTTGTGAAAAGAAACCGTCCATCATTAAACAGGGGTGGAGCCTCCAGGTTCAACTGTCCCCCTCTTACAATGCTGTGATTGCTAGTATCACTCAGCCCTCTGTGAACAGTAAACAGCCATCAGGTGCTAATGATCCATTGTTAGGCTGATGGTCCTTCTTGAGCATGTGATCAGCTGGTTCTGGTTGTCAGCAGCAAACTGGTTGATCCACTCTGAGAAGGTGCTATTTAAGAGACTGAGCTGAATACAGCACCTCAGACTGAGGAAGTCTCTCGGATGAGAGACGAAATGTTTCTACATTTTTTTTTTTTTTTGCTTTGTTTTTTGTTTTTTGGATGTCCAGAGGACCAGACTGAACTTTTTTGGATGGTGTGGTATGGTTGATAATTTTAGGACTTTCTCTCCATCTTTTCACCAGGACACTTCTTCCATCATGGCTGTTGTTCAGAGAGTCTCAGCAACTGCCCTCAGCTGCCAAAGCCAACCTCTCTCCTTGGCTGCTGTCACTCAACTCCTGGTGTTCCATTTACTTGACTCCTAAGAAGACTTGCCCCCTTAACTTTTAACTAATCAGAGGGTTTCTCATAGTGAGTGTGTCCCAACTGTATAATTTAATGTAATTAAACCTCCCTTCTCAAAGTTCTCAGAGATGATAATACAATGGCTTTTGTTAAAGAGAATGACACATTGTTTACATAAACAAAAGAAGTTCTGTTCAACCGATGTCCCTCATCACCGCAACAACCAGTTTCTGTCAATAAGGCCAAGTGAAGCTCTTTGATCAAGATCTTCTTTGGGTGGACAGAAAGTCAGAACTAATTATCATTAGTGAATATGTCAGGGTGGTCCAAGAGGGGAGTAGAAAGAAGCTTCCTGTGTCAGTACAGGATGCCAGTAACTGTCTCAGATTAGCAGAGAGGGAGGGGCGTAGGAAACACAGTGTCTCTGAGGACATTTGTATTTGAGGATGGATGGATGGACACTACAAATGCTATTCCTATATTGTGTGCTAAGATACAATATTAGGACCTTTAATATTAGGAAGATTTATGAATACTCAAATAATGAGCTTGATTTTAGTTACATTATGAATTTATATTACTATAGTAATTATGATAAAACGTGCATGTATTACTTACATTTATGATGGTTTTTGATAATGATAAAACCCAGGGTTATTGATTATTAGGTCTGTTTCACACAGGCCAGGTTCCAGTCTATTGCTGAGGATAGAGAGCTAACCCTAGTTTTGAACCAGTAGATCGGTTGAATCTTCATAACTCCTTGCAGTGTGGTAGGAGGTGCTTTTAGCTTACAGCTACATTCTCATTCTCAATCTGGACTGTATGTATATACAGGTTCTGGTCATAAAATTAGAATATTACAAAAAGTTGATCTATTTCAGTAATTCCATTCAAAATGTGAAACTTGTATATTACATTCATTCATTACACACAACTGATATATTTCAAATGATTATTTCTTTTAATGTTGATGATTATAACCGACATCTAATGAAAACCCCAAATTCAGTATCTCAGAAAATTAGAATATTGTAAAAAGGTTCAATATTGAAGACACCTTGTGCCACAGTTTAGTCAGCTAATTAACTCAAAACACTTGCAAAGGCCTTTAAATAGTCTCTCAGTCTAGTTATGTAGGCTACATATTCATGGGTAAGATGAATGACTTGACAGTTGTCCAAAATACGACAAGTGACAACTTGCACAAGGTGGGCAAGACACAAAAGGTCATTGCTAAAGAGGCTGGCTGTTCACAGAGCTCTGTGTCAAGCACATCAATAGAGAGGTGAAGGTAAGGAAACTATAGGGCAGAAAAGAAAGTGTACCAGCAATAAGGATAACCGCACCCTAGAGAGGATTGAGAAACAAAACCCATTCCAAAATGTGGGGGAGATTCACAAAGAGTGGACTGCAGCTGGAGTCAGTGCTTCAAGAACCACCACGCTCAGACATATGCAAGACAAGGGATTCAGTTGTCACATTCCTTGTGTCAAGCCACTCTTGAACAAGAGACAGCGTCAGAAGCGTCTTGCCTGGGACTACTGCTGAGTGGTCCAATTTTATGTGCTCTGATGAAAGTAAATTTTTGCATGTCCTTTGGAAATCAAGGTCCAGAGTCTGAAGGAATAGAGGAGCGGTACAGAATCAGAATCAGAATAAACTTTATTATCATTGCACCGAGATACAACGAGAACATGTATGTACAGTCATCCGAAAGATGGGCGGAGTGCACAAAACTGCTACTATGAAAG